ACCCCCCACCCTCCCCCCCCACCCTTTCTACACCGCAACCCTCAGACATGGCTGGTCCTGACCTAAGGTGATCCTCCCCCCTCCCAACCACCCTTGTTCCCCCTAAAAATTTATTAAAACACCCCTTTAAAAAGAACCTTAATTTGGCCAATTTCAGTAATTTTCGATTAGCACCCGCAGCATGCCACCTCTCGGGGTTTACGCCCTACGTAAATCTTCTGCATCAATTCTGGCTGTGAAAACAGCATGTTTATCTATTTTGGGAAGTATATCACATGAAGAAAAGCGTATGAACAGTACTGATGGCCAGTAGAGAATGAGAACCTACCAGGAGAGAGAGAGAGAGAAAAAAAAGGGATTTTGTTTCCAAGCCAGTCTAGATTCCAGGTGCTCTTTTGTCTGGTTTAAATGGTCTGGAACTCTTGGTGACCTCAAAACTCTCAAAAGTTTCTCGTATACTATCACAAAAGTTTGCATTTCTTATAATTGCACCAGCCAAACAAAGACGGCCTCGTGAAAGGTTCTGGATTCACGGCATATGTCAAGCAAACCAGGTGCTGCTCATCAAGATGAAACAGCATATTAGCTGTAGCATTCTTTCATACGTTTGGAGACGTAGGCATGTCATTTAGCCATTGTAAGCGGCAAGTGTGATTGCACCACATGTTTATGAAGCCTTGTGTGAATGTTAGAGACAAACTTTCTATCGGTAATATGCTTTTCTGTGTATGGGCTATGAGTGAGGAACTCGGAGCAAATCCTTTTCTTCCTGGTTGCAATTGTTCCACTTTGTGAGTAATGTAAGTCTCTGTTCCAGCCAATAAAAGATTAAATGTTGAGGGGGGAAAGCACTATCACGTGGAGGCTGTAATGGACTGTTAGATGGGGAGGTGGTTTTTTTTTTTTCATTTAATATTTCAGCCAAACAGTCTGTTTGCCTCTCAGGAATTTAGATTGTGTTTTACCTCCTAATTATAAACATAGCTGTGGTTGTGGTTTCATTTGGTTAGGACAACTTGATGGGGAAAACAGCCCATTTGGTAACTAGCAACCTATGCAGATTTTTTAGTTCAGGAATCATGCAACCCAACTGGCTTTTTTAGTAGCATTTACAATTTCTGCATAAAGAACATTGTCATGGGTAAGGTACAGCAAGGAGTCAACCAAGGAGCAGGAGTGGAGGACTTGACTTATGCCTCCTATTTTATACTTCAACCACAAGTCCCTGTTCATTGCTGCTTCTTAAACAGCAGCCCTGCATGTTACCAACAACATGATGGATTTGCTCCCTTTTCCTCTTTAGACCCATTTTTAAAGCAAATTGTTATGCCTAGCTTGCATTGACCTTTTTTTGAAGATTGATATCTGGAAGATTGGGCTAAGCAGACATTTGGATATCTAGAAGTGAATTTAAGTAGGGTCACTCTAACATTTAAGATTTAAGTGCTCTAATTTTAAGGGTTTTTAGTAATCATATTAATAGACCCATAATGTTATTTCTTTGGCCATGTGCCTTTCATGATTGTGATGTTTTCAGAAGGAAAATTAAACGTATGCAGTTGAGATGCTACTTGATCAGCATTGCTCTTTGTTACTGTTGTTGAAGACAGACTTTTGGGAGGAAGGAATGCTCTTCACAAACCTGCTACACACTTTGCTGTTGTCAACATCTCCTCTTGGGCAAACCCATTGCTTGCTCATTATTCTGTATTTCCTAAAGCAGAATTAATCTCTCTCTCTCTCTCTCTCTCTCTCTTTGTCTGTCTCTCACTCCCCTCTCTCTCATGTTCTGCTTCCTCACATCAGTCTCTCCACAACCGTTACCCCACCCCGAGCAAGTAATTTAATTATTTTACATCTCCTACTTGTTTGGATTCATGTGTAAGGAACAAACTGCATTTGGTTTGTTTGTTTTTGGTTGGAATTACTTTTCTTAGATCTTACTTATTTTCCAGGTGGGGCTACTCCCTTGTTGATATACCTTGGGCAGTGCCAGAAGCTTTTGCCCAATGGGCGTTTCTAGTTTCTAGTATATTTTCTACTAAGAGATGGAAACTTGGTGGCTTTTAATTTTTTTTAAAAAAAAAAAGCTTTTCCAATCAAACAGCAAAATGAGAGTTGCCACAGCCCTATTTCACTTTTAGAAGTTGCTAAGTTTACCTGTATGTTCATTGTCATCATCTTTTTTTTTTTAAATTAAAGTTCATTTTCACAAACTAACCCTCTCGTTTTTGTTTGTTTTTTTTCCTTTCTCTTTTCTTCTCCGGTTTCCCTTCTCGTTATGGTAGACTGATCCTTGGTTATCATTGCAGAACTATGGCGGCGGGATGAGACCTCCACCCAACTCTCTAGGGCCCGGCATGCCTGGGATTAACATGTAAGGCGTTTCTCATGCTCCTGGCTTTTGAATGATGTACCTTTCGTTTGATGTGGAAATGAGTGCTGTTTTACTCTCTACTTGGGCTTGAGTAAATGGGTGTGTGTGTGTGTGTGCTAAAAGCTTTGTTTCTTTTCTTGAACTCCAGGGGTCCAGGAGCTGGTAGACCATGGCCCAATCCCAACAGCGCTAACTCAGTAAGTGTTTTTCTGTGGAATGCCTTTATCACTTGAACCTTGGAATTTAGTTTATTTCTTCTTTCTGCATCTCCCTTTAAATATATGCTGCATCGCTTGCTCTTGTTTTCCCAGCGGGGTGCCATCCTGAGCAGGAGACATGGGATATCCTCCATTTCCTTCTGTGCAGCTGCCCTATCCTCTTAAGCATATTTAAAAACAATAAATATTTTTATTAGGGTTCTGAACCCTCCCTTGTCAAAAGGTCCCTCTCTGAAAAGTTTTGCGTGCGCTTTGTTTGCAGATTCCATATTCTTCTTCATCACCTGGTACATATGTGGTAAGTTCATATTTTTTAATCCATCAGTTGAACAAATGTGCGTGGCCACCCATCTCATCAGTGGGCAGTGAGCACAGAAAAGAGCATTATCCATAATCCTGTCAGGTGCAAGAAGTCAGGAACCAGGAGAGATTTCAAAAGTACCATAAGTTTATTTCATGCTACCTAAACACAGGAATCTGATCTACTAATGGTCAAGGCAAATTGGCTCCAGATCAATGGACTTCAAGAGGGACTGGACTCAGGTCTCTTATGGGAGCATAGAGACTCCAAACTGGTGATGCATTTGACCCCACCTTCAGGCTCAGCCTGGTCATCGCCTACAAATCCAGATCAGTTAAAAAACCCAAGTCAAGGCTGTATTGAAAAAAATGAGCTCCATAAACATCCCAGAGCCAGGACCTTGCAGTCTTCTGGAAAAGCCAACAGGATCAGAACCTTTCTGATCCCCGTGGAGATGCTGTTCCATAAGACAGTCACCGTCACAGAGGAGTCATGGTTCCTAGGCCTGCCAGGTGACACTGCTTTACTGAGCATGTCCCAGAGCATGTCCCTTCTCTCAGATCTGGTGGGACAGGTCAAGACAACTGGGAGAAGAAAGTTTCACGAGTAACCTAGTCGCATGTCACGAAGTGACAGTATATTTGTTAACTAGCTCTGGGGATACTTGTATTCACAAGTATGCAGTCTAGATTATGGTTAAAAGTTTCCTGCTGAAGGGCAGCGTCCACATCTGTATAATATGCAAATCAGGAAGCATAGTGCATAAAGCATGCTGAAAGAGAGGATGTTGATTAGCATAAGATGAAGAGGAAGTCATTTCTTTAGTCAACGTCCCCCTGAAACAGCATTTCTCAGTCTTGGTGACTTTGGGACACGTGGACTTCAACTTCCATAATTCCTCAGCCAGCCACACTGACTGGGGAATTCTGGGAGTTGAAGTCCACGTGTCTTAAAATCACCAAGGCTAGGAAGTACTACCCTAAAGTATGGAAAGAAATACCTTTCTAACCCCCAGCATTATGAATGATGTGATACTTGTGATACTCCACTTTTAATTTATCTTAGAGCAGTTACAGTCAGAATTTTTAGCAGCTTTAATTCTTAACCGGACTGGAATCAGACCATCAAGTTAACTCACTGACATAGCAAGTTACAAAGCTCTTAACTGCCCACTTATTGTTGCAACTTCTGCAGATGTGAAGGTTACAGAAAGGATGGTCCCCCTCCTTCTGTTCTTTCCCTGACAGATAGACCCAGTGTGTGCATCTTCCATAGAAGCACCTTGCTATCTCTCTGTAAAACCTTCATTTTTCCTGAGGCTTAAACAAAGAAATTGCACTTTGGCTACAAGGGTGCATGGAAGGTTTTAGCAGGAGATTAATGCTTGGCTGAATACCAAGGTGAGACATTGTTGCTGACAGCAGCAAGATCTGGCTGACCTATTGCAGGCTATGTTATCACAGTGGTGCCTGATGCGTATTTAATCTTGTCAACAGGGGCCCCCTGGTGGCGGAGGTCCTCCTGGAACACCCATCATGCCTAGCCCTGCAGGTAAGGGATGGGGGAGAGAACGGGAAAGGCGGCGTGGAAGAGAAAGAGTTTCTTTCATTGTTGGCCTTGATGGAAAATGACAACATAACATCTGCATGTGGTTGATGCCCTATTTGCTTTGGAACAGCTGCAGATAATAATCAAATGAAAATGATTCCTTCTTTCCTTCCTTCCACTGATGGCTTAGGTCAGGGGTAGGCAACCTTGGCTCTTTTATGACTCGTGGACTTCAACTCCCAGAATTCCTCAGCCAGCCACACTGACTGGGGAATTCTGGAAGTTGAAGTCCATGAGTCATAAAAGAGCCAAGGTTGCCTACCCCTGGCTTAGGTTCTGTTAGGCTTAAAGCACGGGGAAGTTGTCCACTAGGAATTAGACAATGGAAGTTCACCTTTGGATCAGCCTTTCTGGATTCATCTAAAGACAGTTTGCGATCGGCATCAAGCTCCTGGCAAGCAGGGTTAAATGTGTGACACTGCTCCCTTTGATAATTTTTAATAAATGTTGACATTATAATAGGCTTATTTCATCTTTTTTTTTTTTCATCATCCTGGTGAAACTTTTTATCCAAAGTAAAACGTGTCTGGGTGATTTGCAGAATCTAACTTAAATCATTCTCTACAGACCCCAAGGGAATTAGAGGAAAATGTAAAATAAACTCTATTAAACTCCCTAAATCCAGTGTGGTTAAGGCTGTAATGTCCCCCCTTTTGTGGGCTTTCCCTGTACTGGGGCCAGGGAATTCCTCAGAGAAGTAGCCAGGAACTCATCATCCGGCTTTACACTACAGAGCAGGGGTAGGCAACCTTGGCTCTTTTATGATTCATGGACTTCAACTCCCAGAATTCCTGAGCCAGCCCCTGCTACAGAGGATGCACAGCAATTTTGGAATGCCACTTTGTACAGTGTTGTCCACTTGTCCTCCCAGAAGGCTGCATAAAATCCCCTCCTAGCCTTTGGTTCTCTTACTGTATAGCAGAGGCAGGGAACTATAGCCCTTTTATGACTTGGGGACTTCAACTCCCAGAATTCCTGAGCCAGCCATGCTGGCTCAGGAATTCTGGGAGTTGAAGTCCCCAAGTCATAAAGGAGCCATGGTTCCCCATCTTGCCTTACAGTAAAGGAAGAGAACGGAACGTGTGTATGTGTGTGTGTGGCGGATATTCTGACAGGACCAAAGTTTGATTTGGCTCACACTTTGAGCATCAATTAGAAGAAGAAAAAATAGAAAGGGACACTTGAAGAAGGTGCTCCTGTTGCATGTAACGGGTGCACAACAGCTGCAGAGTTGGAGCTACACTTTAATATTACCACTGCTTTCCTCCTGCATTTTTATGAGGACTCTGACCTACATTTCTTACTAGATCATAATAAAACAATCCATATGTTAATTCAGCCACAAATCTTCCCGCCTTTTTTAATTCCGTTACTGTGGCCTGCTTATAAATCTTGGTGTTTGTATCCTACAGCTTGACTTTCCTCCTGCTACCAATACTAAAAATCTAGGCGCTTGCTTTATTGGGGAAAAGAATACATGAAATGATAAATATTACTCTTCTTTCAAAAAGAAGAAAAAATATTATGGTGCAGTGAGATAATTTCACTGGCTAATTTTGAGGCGCTAAGTGGCATGTGGCAGAAAATTATCTTTCTTCATCTCTCGTAGCAAAAAGGCTTCATGATCCTTGGTTAGTAGCAGACTTCTTTTCACAGTTGAATTTCTGTGATTAAAAACTTTGTGAATCTTCATTAAATACAAATTAGCCAGAAAATGGTGGTACTTAGAGGGAATTTTAGGTGATAAAGCTCGAAAGAATGAGTTCAAGTGGCATGAGTTTGTTTTAATTAAGAAATGAATTAATCACCCTGACTTAGTGGATTTCACTGTTCTATAGATTCGACAAATTCAAGTGACAACATCTACACAATGATTAATCCTGTACCGCCTGGAGGCAGTCGGTCGAATGTAAGTCTGCTTTCTAATAATTTACATATCAGATACCATAACAAATCATAATTAACTTCATCAGTTGAGGGTAAAGCAGTTTAATTGATTTCAGCAATTTGCTTCAAAATAGAAATAAAACAAACCATTAACAAGTGATTAACTCTTCAGGACTTTGTTAATTTTTTATGCTTATTAAAATAGTAGCATTCATGTGGCTCTGGTCAAGACCATCCCATGCATTGCTGAGACTGGGCTGTTTTTAAAGAGAACACAGCTTGAACCTTACTCCATCTTGCACATTTAGTTGAAGCTAATTACCAAGAGTTGCTCTGAAGATTTCCTACTCCTCATTTACTTTCGAAAGTATATGCCATTTCTGTACTCTCTCTTCAAGGGAGTGATAATTTCAGCTTTCTTTCAAAGCTTGGGTAGCTGTCTGGTATGGGTAGAATAAAATCCAATATATTAAAAATTAGGGTGTTTTACCACATCTTGCCTGATGGAATTTGATACCTCTAGCTGTTCTCTCTTTTGAAGCTATCAGATTTTTTTTTCCTAGTAACAGACTTCAAAAAAAAAAATCCTGCAGAACATATTAACTTTCTGAATGTTACAGCTGTTCATACATAAGACAATCGGTTGGGTGGCATTTTACAATACAAATGATCAATCATAATGGATGCCTTCTTTTTCCCCCCCTCAGTTCCCAATGGGGCCTGGATCAGATGGCCCCATGGGAGGCATGGGTGGGATGGAACCCCATCACATGAATGGCTCATTAGGTAAGCTGAACAAAAAAATATTTGGGGCAAAGTCACACAGGATTCTTTCTCTTGATAGAAGTTGGTTCTCGGGGGGTTTCTGATTGGGTAAGCCACATCCAATGAGTGGCTCAATTTATATATATTTTACAAGGAGGCCAAATCATTCCAAAGTCAGAGTGAGTTGTGGGAACCTAGGCGAGAATACCTTGTAGTAAGACATTGGTCAGAATGCAGAAGAAGAATTCCCTCAGCCAGTTTCAGGTGCCTGGAAGCCCTCTCCAGGAGACAGCCTTTAATCTAGTACAGGGGTCCCCAATCCTTGGACCGTGACCCACTACCAGGCCAAGGCCTGTTAGGAATCAGGCCACACAAGTGGCTGGCCGGCACATAGACACATGCACCCAACTCAATTTGTAGGAGCACGTGCAGTTCAACATCCACAAGTGGGTGGGCAAGTGCGCATGCATGCAGCTCGACTTGCATGAGCAGCAGGCTGGCATATTTATGCATGGGCTAGCATGCCACTTGCACAGGCCCATTCCCCTTTTTCCCCCCTCCCCCGCGTAAAGGTTGGGGACCGCTAATCTAGTATCCTTCTACTCTAGCTGGCTGCTTCCTTCCATAGTTCCCCACACCAACATGCTCTATCCCACCCACCCCCAACCTCATCCAGCAACGTGGGCAACAGACCACTGCCATTTTATTTTTCCATGATACCTCTTGGTCTCTTATGGCATCACTCCCAGGTATTGTAGGAAATGTTTAAAGGCTCAACACTAGGACAGGGATAAATGTGCCGTGTGACTAGGATTGTATTAATAACACCTTTGCCCTGATATCCTACACATTTCTACAACTGGTGCTCTTTGTCTTCAGAACCCGTAGGGCTTTCTCATTAGTAAATGGATGGCTTTGATTTTCCTGTTCCTTATTTTTCTGGGGAAAATTCCTCCATGTTTTCACAGGTGACTAGCCCTATGTCGATAATCAGCAGTCCCAATGTCTTTGCCATTCTTAAACACTCTTCGTAGTGTCGAAAATTAGCCAGAAAACAGGAACCGCTAGTCACAAGCCTTGCTGGACTCCTGTTGATAGATAACAGAGAAGAAGCAGCATGAACCTATCGGTGGTGTGTGTGTTTTAATTAAAGCAGCAGAAAGACCCATTAACCTCCCATGCTTGCCTTATACATCTTGCTGAAGTAGAGGTGCTGTACTCCATCTTGATCAGTGTCAGAAAGCTCACGGGAGGGAGCCGAGGCCGTAGCAACTCGATTAGGCCATTACTCTAGTGCTGTGCAGGAAGGTGAGCTGGGCTCTGCTCCGGGGAGTTTTCCATGCAGAGGAATGGCAGCTGAGGCATCCCCCAGCATGTCCCTTTCTGGAGGCAAATGTTAAGAGGTTTGCATTAGCCCAGCTGTGACCTACAACTCACTAATGTACTGCCAGCTGCTTCCCAGAAGGTCCAGCCTTACATTTTGCAGCAGCCTTATTTTCTTACATATAGGTTCCGGATCTAAATGTTTCAATGCTAGTTGGGGAAAATGTGGGTTTAGAAGAGGGAAGCGAAGTCTTTCTACTAACAGCCTGTTTTTCTCTTCCTCTCCATCCCACCATCCCAATCTTCTTTCATAAGGGTCAGGAGACATTGATGGACTTCCAAAAGTAAGTCGATATGTTGCTAATATACTTAGGTGGGGGCTTCTTATCTCTTTTTTTGGTATTAAATGGCAGATTTAGGATTATAGGGCACTATGGGGTAAACGTAGGGAGGAAATGTTCACCCTCCTGTCCAAGTTTAGTAGTTTGCCAGACTAGTTGGCAGACTTCCCCTGTTGACTTAGCAGATGAAGATCCTTATGCTCAAAGTCAGGGGTAGGCAACCTTGGCTCTTTTATGACTCGTGGACTTCAACTCCCAGAATTCCTGAGCCAGCCATGCTGAGGAGAAAGGGAGAAGTTTCCAAGCTGAGCCATGCTGGCTCAGGAATTCTGGGAGTTGAAGTCCACGAGTCATAAAAGAGCCAAGGTTGCCTACCCCTGCTCTAAGTGAAGTGCAATACTTTCTTTCTACGCACAAGCTTCATGTTTAGCTATCTTTTGCTCATCCGTGAACAATGTATTTTCCTATAGTTGTTTGTGTACACTTTGCTGAAAGACACTCTCTCACTTTCAGTGTGTATGTGTGTGGTCTGTGCGTTCCCCCTTCCCTCCCCCCCCCTTTTTTTTTTTCTTTTTAATTGTAGAATTCTCCAAACAACATAAGTGGCATTAGCAATCCTCCGGGCACTCCACGCGATGATGGTGAACTGGGAGGCAACTTCCTCCATTCCTTCCAAAATGACAACGTGAGTCATTCTGACACCCGCTCTTTAAACACATGGCGTTTCAATCTTGGAGCTTTTCAAGGCTCTTTGAGCAGTATCTGTTTTATATAAAAAAAATCAAGAAAGTATGATGTGGGGGCTGATAGAATTAGAATTAGAATTAATATCCAGAGTCAGATAATCAGTATGATATTTGGATGTAGCGTACCTTCTGTACAAGAGGAAGATAAATGGTTCCAAATCTGGGAAATAGAGACCATAAGTTATTTAAAAGAAATAAGGAAATATAGAGAGTTCCTTTGAAACAATGCTAGAACCAGAGAGCAAACACAAAAGAAGTGTGCTTGGCTCTCACAGTTTGAATGTACAAGCAACTTTGTGTACTGTATGTGCATAAGAGAAACTTGTTGCCTGACGACTTCTGGCTAGAGTTTATATTGATCACAGAGGCCCTTTCAATGTAGGAAAATCATTGCCATTGTTATTATTTATATACTTTTAAAAAAATAAAGTAACATAAATCAATGATAGGTCTTGCCATGAGGAGCTTAGAATCAGATTTTCAATGAGAATATTAGAAGAAGTAGGAAAGCACAGCTATGGACTTTTTGAAAATTATCCCTGATGGTCAAAGCAATAGAGATAACTTAAGTGGTTGGTTCTGCCAATTATGCTAATCTATATAAATAAAAATGTAAATGTTCGTTTGTTCAAAATCTTAAATCTCCGAAAGTTCTTCACTGATTGCTTTGGAATTTTGACACAACGTTGCATTCGAATACGCGCGTGTTTTTATATACCTACTATTATATAGATGTCACACCTGTGACAGGTAAAAACATTTAACCTGTCTGAGCCACAGCAACGTGTGACCGGGTACAGCTAGTACGAAATATAACTTCAAGAAAGGGATGCTGATCCAACAACCGAAGCAAACGTTAATTAAGAAAAAGAAACATCCTCATTGTTAGTGTAATTTGTTTCATGCAAAAGTATGTAAGATTAAAGTATTGTAATATTATATTCATTCTAACTTGAGGGTCTTTATCATTGTATAGATATGACAACAGAAATAGTAAAAGCAGCAACACTTGAGTTTCCACCTAACCACCAACCTACCACTAACCATTGTTGACCAACAGGAGATAAAAGAATGGAAATTAGAACTTTTTAACATATTTTCTGTCTTGTGATTTCCTGAATCAGTTAGGGAGATTGATCTCTTTCCCCATTTTCTTACCTAGCACATGAGTTAGCCATTTGTTCTGATTTTGACCTCATGCTTACTGTGTGATTTTTTTTTCTTCTTCTTTCTTTTTTTCCTTGCCCTTCCCTTCCTCACCCAGTATTCTCCCAGCATGACAATGAGTGTGTGATTTCCCTCTTCCTTCACCCCCACGTCCTCTTCTCCAGGATAAAGAAAAAGTCGGCTGCCCTTTGGAGGATCTCAAGAAATTATGCAAGAAGAGAAGAAGCTAGGTGCATTTGGCAGGGAGACATTCAAAGCCGGGGGATCCAGCCCTAATTTTTAGTTTCATGCAATAAAAAGGCTGAACTTTTTATTCCATAAAACAATGAAGGACAAATCTTTAAAATATTTCAAGACATGACAAGATCCTTCTTCTGCAGAAGGATTTATTATATGTATATGACACTTATTTTTTTTGTTGTTGTTCATTTTTTTGGAAACAGACAGAAGCCTCTAGCGCCCAATTTCAGCCTCCTTTGCTCGATTATTCTTTTAAAACCTCTTGTATGTTTGTGCTGTGCTACGCAAGGAAGCTAGTCTAGATATGAAATCTCATGTTGTCTCTGTAGCCATTAAAAATAATAAAACTGGACAGTTTTTTTTTAAAATAAATTGGTGGGTTTCGTTCAGAAGACCTTCCCCTCCTACTCCCCCTTCCCTTTTACGTTGGTGTCTTGCAGCACAACACTTCCTTCATCAAGAAGATCTGAAAAGATTTCCCTGCCTCAGTTGTAATGCAGCTGGCTCCCTTGTAGGATCACATCCTCCAAACGTTTCATTGTGATCTTGGGTATATCTGTGACTGTGGCATGCACTGTTTTAGCCCCCTCCCTTGCTTGTCCTCCCCCCTCTCCTCCTCCCCCTCAAGCACTGCTATGAATTGCCCTTTTGCAGAATTTGGAAAATGTCAGAATTTTTTGGGGGAGGGGTGGGTATTGAGGGTTAAGGCACAGGTAGTCCTAGACTTACAGCCAGAATTGGGATTGGGATTATTGGTTGCTTAGCAATGCGGTAGTTAAGCAAGTCGTCACATGACCAGACTTGATTTTACGGCCATTTTTTCCATGGCCATTAGCAAATCTGGATGTTAAGCGAATCTGGCTTCCCCAATTGACTTTGCTTGGTTAGAAGCTGGCTGGGAAGGTAGCGAATCCTGATCCTGTGACCGCAAGACGCTGCAACCATCATAAACGTGAGCCAGTTGCCAAGGGCCCGAATGGCGATCACCCGACCGGAGGGGTGGTGTGATGGTCATAGTTTTGAGGATGAGTCGTTAGTCACTTTTTCCAAGGCCATCATAATTTCAAAGCATTGTTAAATGGTTGTTAAGTCAACTCTCTGTACTTGGGATTTTTTTTTATTATTATTCTGTTGGGATGGTGTCAGAAATAAAATGAAAAAGGCATTAAAAACTTGACCTAGGACTCAAAAACTGTGAGTGCAAACTTCTTAACATCTGCTTTGTTTTTGTTTTGGGTTTTCTAACGAAATGATGTGATCTTACTAGGGTTTCACTGTATATGCTCTGGAACTGGATGGAGATATTTTTACGTAATTATTGTTGTTAAATTGTATACTTGCTATTCTGTAGGCTCTCTCTCCCTCCTTCTCACTCTGTAATTAAAAGCAGAAATTAAAAAAAAAATTAAATCTTACCTTCTCCTGGTCGGGGTGACTACAGAAAAGCATATCATGTATAGTGAAACTCGCAAGTCTTGAGATCTCTGTACATTACACCCCCTTGTAGCTGGTCTTTGTTTTATATAAAAGGAAAAAAAACCCTTCACTTCTGATCTATGTATTTCATATTATGTAAAATATTATCTTACCCTGGATTTACCTACCTTTGTGCGGATTCTTGAGGACATTGTATCTTGTTTCAGTGTTTTTTCTTACCTTGTAGTCTGGTTCTAAAGTTAAGCGAGGGAAAGGAAAAGTAATTATTATACATTGTAGTTTGTGTACGATATTTGTTGATAATGTTTTATTAAAGGGATGTCTTTTTTCTGCACCCCTTAATGAAATGTTTTTTTTTTTTACTTATGATTTTGTTTGGGGTTTTTGTTTTTGTTTTCTCTTTTCTTTTTCTTTTTTCTTTTTGGTTTTGTTTTGTTTTGGAAAACATTGGCTTGTTTTTACTCTAACTATCAAAAAAAAGTACTTGAAACCATGTAATTTTTAAGAAGACAATGATTTTTTTAAAAAAGAAATGCTTGCCCTTTTCTTAGGCATTTTGATTATGTTTTGTTTTTTTTTGTAGAAAGACGATGGGGATGGGGTGGGCAAACGAAGATTCTCACAGTTATAGTCAGGATTATATTTAAAGAAATAATAATAATAAACCTTCAAACGAAGATTTGTTCCATTCCTAATGCAACACTTTTTTTAAAGAGATAACTGGCAGGTTTCATTGTATTAAAGTGATGGCTAAATTAAATGTCTTCATTGGTCTGGGATGGTTTTTAAAAGATAAATCAAGATCTTTTCTCTTTTCCCCCCCATGCTGTAATAAATATAAACATTTGATTTCCCGTCCTTGCTGTTCATTATTCTCTCCTGGATACAGAGATTCCAGAAAACCTGGTGTGGAAAGTCGCCTGCTGATTATGGTCTCTTTGAAGCCACTACATTCTGAAGATGCATTTCATACCTATCACAAACATGGTGACTGGTCTAGATTTAGAACCCATTTTTACATTCCTTTTAGACAGACTCAAAATCAAGTAAGATGCCTTCTCGACACTATAGAGTGCAACAGTCCAGCAAGAACAGCCATTTTCTTTTAAATACAAGAGCAGAAATTGAATTCATCAAGCCACAGAACTTGGCACAGCTTTGCCCAGAGTGTATCCTGTTTACAAAAAAAAAAAAACTTTATGATTCTCTAAGATTGTTCTGTGAATCCTGGCCAAGAAGCTACAGAACATTAAAATGAATATACAAGTAAATAGTTTACTTGCAGTTTAATATATAAGATAAATCAGAGGTGTTTGTATAAATTTTATTATACAAAAACAATAAAAACTTTTGATTTTTATTTTTTTTTTACATCTTCTATAGGAGAGTTAAGGAATAGGTTATTTTAACAATACCTATTACTGGTATCTGGTATCTCTCAATGATAGCTCAAGAGTAAATCCAGCTTAATTGCGTGTGCTCTCATAATAGTTATTTCTTCAAAGCAATTTTTGGCTTGCTTGAAGTGTGAAAAGGCTACTACAATGATGAATCAAAATTGCTTCCATGTCCATGTGACGTGTGATAGCACAATACAACAAATGAATACATCTCATTGCATCTTCATACAAGTTGGTTGGTGTGGCCTGAAGGACTCCCTTTCATGGCTTGAGTTGTTTATTGGGTAAACAAGCACATACCTGTCCAGGGATTATCACACAATATTTAACTTTTAAATCTTAATTGACATTATTTTGGTTCTACTGCTTCCACATTAAGAGTCCAGTTAAATGCTAGCGGTGTGGGAAGCATACAATTAGTCATGTCTAATAACATCTAATACAACTATAAGTAACTAATGAGTCGCCAGCTCAGAATACTTGTTCTGGCCAAGCTGCTATATTCTCAATATATTTCTTTCTTTCTAGTCTAAATTTAAAAAAAAAACTTCACGTGTGCAAACAATGTGACAGGAACACCAATGCAAATTAGGAAACAAGTCTTGCTCATAGTCCATATTTTAACCCTAATTTCCTATCAATCAACTAGTTTGGAATATTAAATTGAAGTTTCAATTGTGCTTGATCAAAATTTGAATGGACACCATTATCTGTTGCGCAAAAACAATGCGATATTTTGGGGAGCTCATTATTTTCTGCTTCTGTTAGGCATGGAGAGAGAATCTGAAAGAATAGTCTGTGCTCCCATTTGCAAGAGTTCACAGGAATTGCACAATTATTTCAGGTGTACAATTGCAAGGCAATTTTTGTAAATCTGTATCTTCCAAGGAAACCTGTAAAAAGCTTAATAGTCTCCAAAGTCTAAATATTTGTAGCTAGAACTGTAAACTTATATGTAGTCTATCAAGAGGGGATAAAATCAGATTCATAACTTAGGATCAAATCGGCTATGTTTTGCATTGCTGTATATACAACAGAATAGTATATATTTATATCTAATATAGCTGCAGAAATCACTGATCTCTGTATTCGTGTATTTGCTCGTGGACAGAAGTTCTAAATGCTGTATATGAAACTTGATTGTGACAATTATGTATTTTTGTAATGTGGTTCTAAAGCTAGTTTTGAAAATCCAAGAGGATGCTAACCTCATTGAGAAGGTAGTCATAATAAGAAAGCGGGGTGGGTGGAGCTATTGTAATGAAGTTGCAACCAAGGGTAATGTGCTTTTTATGGGCAGATTTTCCTCCTTGTACAGTTCCTATTTTGTACATGCCCACGTCGTCACTTTGAATGTACATTCCTGTGTCAGAATTCTAAATGCAGTTCTAAAACAGACCCATAAAATATTCAGCTGAAAAAAATAAAACAGGACAAAATATACCTACATAAGCACCTAATCTCCATCACTTCATCAGCATCTTATCTGGTGCCCAAAAATCTTTCAGTCTAATATATCTATATTGCTGAATGTCTTAACCAGCAAGATCAGTTTTGTCCTCTGTTAGCAACGTGTGCCGTTTGGTATCTGATTTCCAACATGTTCTTCTTTTGCAAGGCAAATGTTTTTTTTTAATATGGTAGAACTTTATTTCAGAAACCATCCTGCAAGGCTTTGTTCCTGTTTTATGCTGTTGAATTTTTTTTTTATTATTAGGGTGGTGTTTTGTTTTTATTATGCACCATTGTGTACATGCACTTCAGAGGTTTTTGTTCTTTTTTTTATGTCTCCTGAGTCCTGCCGATTGCCTAGACAAGTTCCTGTAGTTTTCATAAGCAAGATTTCAGAAGTGGTTTGTTCTTGTCTTCCTTCTAAGGCTGAGACAGACTGATTGGCCCAAGACACCCTTCTGGCTTTGTGCCAAGGGTAGAGCTAGAACTCCCATTCTTCCTTCTAACCTGGTGTTTTAACCCCTACACCAGCCTGGCTGTCATTTTTCAGAGATAGAAATGGAATTATTTCAGCTTTGACTTGCTACTATTTCTTGCAATATCCAATGGTTCTCTGGACATGCAACTTGGTTTCTATAAAGCACCATATTAAGCATTTGGTACCTGCAAAATACAGTCCTGAGATCAGCCACATCTATTGGTGGACCAGTTTTCTGTCTTCCTGTTTTCTCCAGATAAAAATCCTGAGGTTTTTGAAATTAGAGAACAAGAGACTTGAAATAACTCCCGAGGTGTTAAGGGCATGGTTTGCAGTTTGTTATGATCATGATTATGTATATATATTTAAAGTCTAGCTATGTGTTTTAAAAGATGGGCTTCCAGTTATCTAACAAAAACATTAGTTTGACAGTAGTACCAAATGACTCCCGATATTGGGTTCCCTTTCATTGCATGCATAAGATTGACAGCCATGTATGGGCATACTTTTAACTGGGATTCAAGCACTAAGCAGGGAATTGAATTGTTGGTATACGTGGCTCTTTCCAACTCTTGATTTTATTTTCTCTTTTTTTAAGCAGAACTAACACAATACTTAATAGTACATGGTTGGAAAGCTAAGAAATGTTTGAATTTTTCTGTTTTTATTCTGCGCCGATTGACCTCCATGCAAATTTTCTTCTTTGCCAAGTCTGTTTGTTACGTTTAACCTACAGTATAATGCTTTGGGGTGATTTGCCTTGAAATGAAGTTCTTTTTAGGCAGTGCAGTGGTTTGCTCAAGCATCTGGTCATCTAACCTAAGTAGCAATTAGCAGTGCAAGTGGAGGCTAAATGGAGTTGCAGATGTTTTCTCTGAAGCCCCAAGGTAGCTCTCAAATTCCTTTCTCCTAAATCATTTAATCTTGGCCCTCCCGTTTAAAAGATCTTAAGGAAGCCTGTGCTCTACATCCTGTTTCTTTTTCACACTCATCTTCTGTATTCTAGCATGTAGAGTACAGCTCTTGGAATTTCCATGGTTAGCAAAATCTCTAATCTTGCTTCAGCTTTCTCGTACCTCTTTTTTTTTTCTTCCCCTTGCTCTCTTTCTTCTTCCTTGCCCAACTCAATGTAAAGCGCAACTCATTATTTCCTTGAAAAGATGTGGAAAGAATGTCCTGGAGCTCTCAGTTTTTCTTCCAGTTGAGTAATTTCAAGAGTTGTGGAAGGAGTTGATTGTTTGGCCAAAAAGATTGGATAGCCGGAAAAAAATAAGGTGAATTTACAATGAAAAGTGAATATGGGATTCTATAATAATGGAAGTCTACAGTATAAAAATTGGGGGGGGGGGGCTGTGCTTAACAATTGTTCTACCTACAGCATGCTAAGGCACCAAGGTTGCTGTCTGCCATAATAATTGCAGCAAGGAATGCCACAGCCATGTGAAGAGAACAGAAGAGATGGAGCAAGAAACTCTGGACACGTTGTACTTGAAAGCGGTTGCTGGAATTATCTTTTCACAGCTGGGGGGGGGGGAGAAAGGTATGGGACATATATTAAATACCTTTCAGAGGTTTGTTGATTTTAATCTAACATTAGTCCTAAAAACAAACACAGGCATAAGCCTGGCTGAAGCATGTCATAGTGAAAGACCACTGCTCAAGTGCATGGATGCATGGAGTGCTTAATTCTGCTGTTTTACCAGTTTCAATACGTGCAACCAGACCGTAAGACAGAGCCGTCTGCAGGTTCATGCAGCCTTCTGGTAGAGCTATTAGCAGAACCTGTAGTGTTTGATTTCATAGTAGCCACATATCAAGGGCGCATGCTAAGGAACCATTCCCCCTTGAAAAGCCTACAGGTTTTGTGCCTCGTATTATCTGAGCCCATGCTTACCTGTTCAGACAGATCAATGAGCGGGAGCAGCTTCAAAAGCCATCACAAACCTTCTGGCAGGTCCCTGTGGGAGGGGGCAGCCTTATAGCATTGCCACGATACTCAAGAAACTGGAGGAAGAGAGACTATTTGTCAGCACTCATAATAGGGGGAAGCAAGAGGCTGGAAAGGCATGTTGAGAATACTGATGGTTTCCTGTTGCTTTTGTCAGTGCACTTTCTTTTTATATCCAGAAGAGACAAACAGCTCAGCCAGGTCTCCCTGTATAACAGCAGGGCTTATTTGTTTGTTTGGTCTACTGGCTCCCTAACTGTGAGAGAACAGTTCGGTAAGTGCTATCATCATCTCCGCTTGCAATTACACAAATACTTCACTGGCCTGTCAACAGCATATTTAACATTTGTCAAAATTCAACCAGCTGTTCTGACTGAGGTAATTTAAAGCATGGCAGTTTCAAAGGCCTGTGATGCCTATATTTGACCAGGGCCAGTTTAAACCTCTCCCATGTTGGAAACCACCTTTAGTAGAGATGCTACCTAAATATGAGCCAAAGGAAGGTAGATTCGCTCCTCTCCATACCGTGCAATGAACTCTACAAAGTGTGAATGGATTTTACTCCCCTGGTAAGCATAATTTATATAATAATTTAGCTGGAAGCTCCTGACAATTCAGTGACCAGCTTTTCAGCAAATGACTGGTTTTGCCATTATTTCGCCTTCCTCTTGTTTTATAACAAGAGGAGTCAACAAAACCCTGCAAAAGGCATATTAAAATATTTTTAAAAGATTCCAATCAAACTGCAGTGGTTATCTATATAAATAAAAATGTAAATGTTCGTTTGTTCAAAATCTTAAATCTCCGAAAGTTCTTCACCGATTGCTTTGAAATTTTGAAACAACGTTGCATTCAAATAAGCACGTGTTTTTATATACCTATATTATATAGATGTCACACCTGTGACAGGTAAAAACATGCTTTTGAAAAACAGCACCATCTGTTGGACGTAAAAGCAACACACGCTTTTACAGACTGAGCCACAGCAACGCGTGGCTGGGTACAGCTAGTACATTTCATAAAAGTAAAACATTTCAGAGCTTGGGAAGTGCAGGATTGCTCTAAAACACAAGTGTCAAACTCGCCACGTCACGTGACATGACATATCGCAACTTTTTTCCCATTGCCTGACCTGGGGTGGGCGTGGCTTCCATGTGGCGCATTTGACCTGTGGGCCGGCAGTTTGACCCCCCTGCTCTAAAAGATGCAACACAATGGCATAGCAATTGCCAGACATCTTAAGTTTTACTGCAATCAATCAAGAAAGTTCATCTGGTCCCCTCTTCCCATGTAATGACCAATCAGATGACAAGAAGGCAATACATCCCTGAATATTGCTTCTTAGCCACTGATTTGCAGAGATATCTAAATATGGTGTCAATATTGCAATAAAGACTGGCAGCAAGTTATTAATACAAGTGATTGAATTCTATTTTATAACATTTTTTGCATTATTCTTTGCATGAAATTTGACTGGCCTAATCTTTTCCTAATCAACAATACCACTTCTAATATTTTCAAATTTTCTCCCCACCATATACATAACTTTATATTATCCCATTGCTTTTTTCTTCCTGGAGATGCTCCAAGTACTGTGTAAGATCAATACTTTTATGTAAGGTTCCCTCCCACTTTTTATTGCCCTTTTGCATTATTCCAGTTATACATCATCTTTCTAAGATGAGTATCATGGTATTCCAACCACTGGCAATACTATATATTTCAATAAACGTACAAGCACATATAATAGTTTTTATGCTAGACCCATGTTCTGATCCAAAAATTGGGGAAGGGAAAGACTGAGTAGTTTGTCAGAAGTTGGAACACAGCAATCACATCTGAAAAGGACTTTGAAACCCTTTAGGGTTAACTTTTTCATATCTTGCATTGTTTTATATAAACCTAACCACATCAATATTCTTATAATTCTGCGTTACTCTTGAAATTGCATCCAATGAAAGATTTTTAGGAAATCCTCTCAATTGTGAGTTATTAATCTTTCCTATAATTTTAATTAATTGCTAATAAGTACCTGTCCTGTTAAGCTTAATAAGATGCTGCTGGAAAAGATTTCTTTGCAGCAGCTATGCTTAGTTTTTCAATAGAAGCTGTTCTTTATCCTTTATAATCTTATGCTGAATAATTCTACTAAGTTATCTAAGACAGAACATTGTGCTCTGCAATATCCAAAAATGCATCCTTTACACTTATACACACCCATTATAAAATAGTTAATATTCCATTTTAGGGAAGTTACACATTTGAGCTTGGGTGGAAAATACCTGTTGCAATTTACCTTTTGTCAGCTTTTAATAAGCCTAAAAACTCTCTTTCAATTAGGTAAGTATGAATCTCCCACCCACCCCCAAAAAATACAACCATTATAGGACTTCCCATTGCACAACAGAACCCCTCAGGAAAACTCTTTTTCCTTTAATGGCTCAAAGCAGAAGTGTTTTGTTTCAAATCCAGAACAATCACGTTCTGGATAACTTGCCGAATTGTTTTGGGCTGAACCTGGTTTGGCAGAAACAAAATTCAAAGAAACACGTTTCCCCTTATTTAGGCAAGAATGCTACTGTCTTGCCTTCCTGAACCAATTCACCATATAGGTCTGTTTTAAATTAAAAAGTTTCCTAATTCGGCATACCTTCCAGTATATATATCCAATGTTGTGAATTAAAATATCCTTCAAAGTGGCTAAAAGGTATGACTTAGTTCTTCTCCCATAACTATGGCCTTCTTGGAACACTGCATCAAATCTTACTCTAATTCTTCAAAGTATTAAGCTTTAACACGTGTATTTAAAAATATCTTTTATTACAAATAAACATATCCTTTTCAGTCTTGTGTTAACAGTACGTCTAGTGTAGTATTTCAGGAAGAACTAGAGGTTGAGCTCAGACTTCCTGGGATCTGTTCACACAACACCGTGCAAGTAGAGTGCCAGGAATTTTTTGAATGTGTCTGGGTTATAGCCATGTATTCCAGCAGGAATCTGTAGAGGGAAAAAAAACCTGATATTTCAATGTCTGGCACACAAATTAGGACAGCATCTAAACCAGTGTTTCTCAACCTTGACAATTTTAAGGCATGTGGACTTCAACTCCCAGAATTCCACAGCCAGCAATGCTGGCTGTGGAATTCTGGGAGTTGAAGTCCACATGCCTTAAAATTGTCAAGGTTGAGAAACACTGATCTAAACATTGCAATGTGCTACTGCAATTTCCCCTGCAAGAAAGTTTTCTTCTGTTCAATAAATCACAAGAAAATAAGACCAGCAATGTAAGTAACAGAATTTTTCCCTTTTGAAAAATTGTCAACGGTCAACCAGTTATAATTTCCAGCATGAGTCACAAATTATATGGATTAATCTGTTTGAATCACCTTCTAATATCGGGAATGGTTTCTGTCAAAGGACTTCCAAGATATCCTCCTATTCCAGTCTCAGGAAGAGGTTTTTAATTTTTTTAAAAAATAGAACCATATTTATACTCACTGTAAATATTCCGTAAGCACTTTAGAAATTCAATTAGACACGGGGTTTTTTTTAAAAAAATCCAGCATACGTATGGTTGGGAAAGCTTGAACTAAATAGGATGGTTTTTAAATGATACTTGATGTATAATAGGGAATGGTCACTTCACAGGACAAAGGCCACCAGAGAGACGGCTGTCCTTCACTGATGTTAGCATACTATACAGCATTTCACAAGCCAAACACAGGGCTCTCCTGAAGAGCACAGATGACTGATGTAATTGGAGAGAACCTGATATAATTTAGGACAGTGGTTCTCAACCTTTTTAATGCCGCGACCCCAACCGGTCGTAAGTCAAGGACTAAACCGGTCATAAGTCGAGGACTAAACCGGTCGTAAGTCAAGGACTACCCAACCGATCGTAAGTCGAGGACTTTCCCTGCCCGGGAGCGCCGCGCATGCGTGGTTCCGCCCCCTGCGCCGGCCGAGGCGTAGCTGGCAAGCGGCAGAGACGGAGCAGACCGACCACCAGCTGGCCCAGCCCAAGGGAGGTAAGGCACCCGCAGGAAAAGGGGGAAAAAATGGCGGACAAAAAAAATGGCAGACAGCCTTGCTTGGCGACCCCCGTGAAATTGTCGATCGACCCCAAATGGGGTCCCGACCCACAGGTTGAGAACCACTGATTTAGGAGAATCTGGCCCCAAGCTTTGCATTCTAGTGTTGTCTAGTGGCTACATTTTGCATTAATTATGGTTTTCAGACCAGTACAGTATGTTACAGTAATACAGCTTTGAAAACTTTTAAGTAGCTTTACCATTAACTGCATTAGCCTTAAAAGCAGTTGTATGTGAGCCAGGGTGTAGATGTTGGATTAGGACTAAGGAATTTATTTTCTACTCCACACTCTGTGGAAAACGTTAAGTGACTTTATCTCAGTCACTTGCTCCCTCTTAGCCACCCACCTCAAAGTGTGGTTCTGAACATAAGGACTGTAGTCCTCGCACAAAGTCACTGTAACCTCCTGGAGAAAAGGCCAATAATAAATATTTTCTAACTAAGTTAAAAAGCTAGAAGTTCTTTTGGTGACAACTTGGTCAGCAAGTAATTACACTTTATCAACATACCAGAACTATTTTCTTCTTGATTTCTGGATGCTTCCTGGCATCCTCATACAAAAGCTGATCCGCATCCAGCCAGGCCAGGTTTTTAACACCATTGCTAGAGTCCAAATCTGTTGTGTTCAACTGAAACACTACAAAATGGAAAGCTTGGCCATTTGTACCAATACTCTGAACAACTACTGGCTTCTCCAAGACTTTGGGTTCATCCTGGGCAAGGGGAAAAAAAAGGTTGTATCAGAAGCTTAAGAGGAAACAAACTGGGCTATCACAGTTATTAGGAAGCTATGATCGGGCGTTAGTCAGATACATGGTTATCAAACCATATCCAATCATTGACATGCTATCCTGACCTAAGTAACATGCAAGTTCAACAAACACAAATTCCTGATTGTATTTTGACTGATGACCTTATATGTAGCAGAAAACTCACAGGTGGCTTTGCCAAAGACCGACCAAATTTCCACAGTTTAACAAACAGAAAAATCAGTGCTGGCTTTTGTCATCTCCAACAGTAGGTGGTATACGCAAAGCCATTCCAATTTCATGAATTTCTCTTATAGTAGTCATGACTGTTCAGGAATTACAAATATATGGAAAATTATTTTACTCTAAGATAGGAAATTCAAAAGTGCATTCAGTTACCTCATGCATTCACAAAGTTTAAAACTCCATTTGCCTTGTTAAAATCCAAAACTATGTACTGTGATCATAACATCCATATGATCAGCAATATGAATTTGCTACCTTTGATCATTTTATTCAGTACTGCCAGCTCGATCACTCTCACACTGTCTTCACATTGTGTGCCTTTACACAGCCAACCAACAGAACGAGATCCAACAGGGACTATGCAAGATACGTCCTAGATTTACAAGCACTGCTTTTCCAGTTTTCTCTTTTCTAGGAAATCTGCAATCAAGACTTGCAGAAACTGCACGTGTGTATTTATTTCATGTTAACAGTTAATGGAACAGTATTTATGAAGTGCAGTTAATGGAACTGTCAAGAGCAAAAGTGACCAGCATCTCCTGATCAGTTATGGCAAGCCATAGCTTTTCCATCTAAATTATACTTACTCCATAAAGTTTCTTAGCCTTGGCTAGAGCATTCCCAAAAGCAAACATCAAAACTCTGGCTTGTAAATGTTCCGATTTCTCCCTTTTCCCACTTTCAATAGTGTATGCTGTATGAGGATAAGGATATGGGTAGTCTTTGTTGAAACCTAAATATAAATTAGGGAATAATTTAGTACAAGATCACAACTCACTGCAAAAGAAGAAAGACCATCTGCATATAATCTATATTTTTCAGACCATTACTCATTTACATTCACTCAACTCTTTGTATTTAGACCCTTTTACTCTCATAATTCATTTAGTAGATTCACACCTACAAATGAAGAAATTATGAAACAGATTATATTTAATCTTACCAGTGTCATTTTTTATTTTGTATACATTCTTTTCCCTAAGATCAATTATGGGTGAAATAGGATAGAACGTTTCTAAATCATGATCTTCAGTGGCCAATATCTCATCACTGGATGCTATAGGTTGTAGGCAATTTTCTGCATTCAGAAGCTTTCCACAAGTAATATTAATCTGAATGAGAGCAGACTCTATAAAAGAAAATAACTTATGTTAGTTCGTTATAAGCCAGATATTGTAAAACCAGGGATAAAAAACTTTTCAAGAACACTTCCAAGTGGCTATTGTTCTTAATTCTGGAAATCATAGAAAACCTGAATAGTAGGACAACATTATCAACTGCCAATCTATTTTGCTCCTTTTCACTTCTAAAACCCTAATTTTATTTTTGGTGACGAGGTTGTTAATATGTGTATATTGTCCAAAGTCCCTGAGAACAAGTATTACTGAGAAATATTAAATGTCTTGCAACAAGTTAATACCAGATATGCATATTTGTTTTATGTAGTGGCAGTGCAATGGACTGAATAAAGTGTAGGATTTGGACAAGGAAAACCCTGGCTCTTGTCTTTCCTTAGGCAGAGAAGCAGGCTTGGTGACTTTAGGCCAGGCACAGTCCCTCAGCCCAAGAACAACCTGCCTCCAGAAGCGGTGAATGCACCAACACTGGAAGTTTTTAAGAAGAAACTGGACAGCCATTTGTCCAAAATGGTATAGGGCAGCCGTTCTCAACCTATGGGTCGCGACCCCATTTGGGGTCGATCGACCATTTCACGGGGGTCGCCAAGCAAGGCTGTCCGCCATTTTTTTTCCCTTTTCCGGCGGGTGCCTTACCTCCCTTGGGCTGGGCCAGCTGGTGGTCGGCCTGCTCCATCTCTGCCGCTTGCCAGCTATGCCGCCGCCGGCGCAGGGGGCGGAACCACGCATGCATGGCGCTCCTGGGCAGGGAAAGTCCTCGACTTACGACCGGTTGGGTAGTCCTCGACTTACGACCGGTTTAGTCCTCGACCTACGACCGGTTTAGTCCTCGACTTACGACCGGTTTAGTCCTCGACTTACGACCGGTTGGGGGTCGCGGCATTAAAAAGGTTGAGAACCACTGGTATAGGGTTTCCTGCCTGAGCAGGGGGTTGGACTAGATGACCTCCAAGGTCCCTTCCAACTTTATCATCATCATCATCATCATCATCATCATCATCATCATCATCATCATCATCATCATCATCATCATCATTATTATTATTATTATTATTATTATAATATCAGAAAACTTCTATTGATCTACCAACCTATACTGGCTCAGCTACTATCAGAAAAACAACATTTGAAATCTGAGTTTAAAGTTATTCTTTGAAATCAAAAGTACTTTATATTTGTTCTGACCATGCATTTATCTGTAAATTTCTATAACTTTTTGACAATTTGTAGAGAATTTAATCCAGCCCAGCAACTGGACTGTCTCCCCACCCCAAACACATACAAATAGATCAGTGAAGTCCCTCCTCGCTAGGAACTATTTTCTTCATATATGAAGAAGCAAATCCTTTCCTCTATTCAGGACAAACCTTTATACCACAGAAGATACCTTTATAACATCACTGGCTCTACTGCAGAATCTGGGATATTTGTCCTTAGTTTTCTGCAGTCTGTTAAGTACCGTATTTTTCGCACCATAAGACGCACCTGACCATAAGACGCACATCGTTTTTAGAGGACAAAACAAAAGAAAAAAAAATTTCTAACCGGCGGTGGCGCGGTCAGGTAGGCGGCGGCGGCG